TTGATTGTTTGGGTTTTTAAACTATTTGTAAGTCTTTTTTTTTCCATTTGCATTTCTTTTATTTTTTTAGTGGGTTTGAGAGTTCCATGATGAGATGTGATCTTATGTGTTCTTCTGAATAGTCTGTAAATCGTTGGTTAGTGTCACATGTGAGATCTTAATGAAGGCAACAAAGTTTCTCTTTTTTTCGGTGATGCGGTTTTTGAGGTTCTTCTGGATGGCCTTTTTTGGTGATAAGCATATGTGACATGCGAGTATGAAATTACGTGGATTAAAGGCAACCGAAACCCATTTTTTGTAAGGTTTGTTATCTTCTTGTAGTGACAGATTCATTAGTTAGTATATTGAGTTATCTGAGACCTCACGTCTGCACAAAAGTATAATTAATTGCTTCTTTTATCAATTTCTACTTGTGTTATGACTAAGGGATACTTTTAAAACATTCAGAAAAAATGAGCTCAAGAATTTCTTGGACTTCACGAGGATTGTTGCGCCAATGTGGACTTAAGAGTTCCCTACTGACATCACACAACCACATAGCTACGAGAAGCAGTTCTACAAGCGCCCGCGGCGAATCACAGAAAATCGTAACTTCTTCGGATGAGCATATAGGCTGAAAGATTCCATCGCCTAAAGTGACCGGGCATAGAGAGTATCTCTGGAGAAAGGTCTAGCTCATGTCAAAAGTCGTCTGCATTTTAAAAATAATATTATCATATTATTGAATGTTATTTTAATATTTTTTTCTTCATTTTAGTAATCATTATACTCAATGTTAAAAGAGGTGTATCTCTTATTGTTTGTACAGTTATGAAGTAGATTTTTGTTTATAAAATATCAAATATATTAGTATAACAGTTTTGTTGCAAACAACATTACTACACGGGGGCAGAATGATCATTTGTCCAGAAACAACTGCAACACAGTTGTTTCAAAACTGCAAAAAACAAACAGTCAACTTATCCGCAGTAGCTTCCTGTGGCAGTTGTTACGGCAGTGCTTATCAGCAGCTTATTAATAAGCTACAGCTGCCCCAAACAGACGCTAAAGCATCAAAAAGATATCATGCATCAAAATCAAATAGCACTAGTCAAAGTTCAATGTGGGGTCGGCTACATGAATCCTTTTTCTCTACTATGTCCTATTTAGTGTCATATTTTCATTTGGTTCTAATAAATTAAGAACATTTTTTATACAAAAAATCCAAGTCTTCCTAGGTCTATCTCTGTCTTTCTTAACAAAAGTCAAATCTAAAACATCTACTCTCCTAATCAAATCATCAGATAGTCGACGTTTAATATGACCCAAACATCTAAGACGACTCTCTCTAATTTTGTCCGTCACGGGAGCTACACCAACCCTATCACGGATATATTCATTTCTCATTTTGTCTCTAAGTGTAAAGCCACTCATCCACCTAATCATTCTCATCTCGACAACACTTAACTTAGTATTATGCTTCTCTTTTAAAGGCCAACATTCAGCGCCATAGAGCATTGCAGGTCTCACCACTAGCTTATAAAATTTTCCTTTCAGTCTAGGCGATACTTTTCTATCACACAAAAGGTTTAAAGCATTCATCCACTTCAACTAACCAACTTGAATTCTACTATTAACATCTCCATCAATATCACCATCGCTTTGAACAACAGATCCAAGATATCTAATCATCCACATCTTTTAATAATTTGATCACCCAAAGTTACACTTTTGTCAATAGAGCTACTACTACTAAAATTATATTCCAAGTATTCAATTTTAGCTATACTCAAATGAAAGTCTTTAGACTCCAATGCAGACCTCCATAATTCAAGTTTTTCCTGGGTTTTTTCTCTCGTCTTTTGCACAACAAAAATATCATCAACAAAAAGCATACACCAAAGTACATCCTCCTGTAAAAGTCCAGTAAGACCATCCATAATTAAGGAAAAAAGATAAGGGTTGAAAACCGATCTGATGTAATCCAACAGAAATAGGAAAATATTTGGTCAATCCTTAGGAAAATATGGTCAATCCTCCTTCTGATCAAGCACAAGTAACAACTCTAGTATACATAGCTTTAATGACTTGAATATAAGTCATATCAACACCTTTCTTCTCAAGAACTCTCCAAAGGATATCTCTTGGAACCTTATCGTAAGCTTTTTCTAAATCAATAAAAATCAAATGTAGATGCTCCTTATTATCTCTAAACTTCTCCATCAAACCTCTAAATAAATGTATAGCTTCCATAGTAGATATGCCCCACATAAATCAAAATTGATTATGAGAAAACTTTGTAATATGTCTTAACCTATGTTCAGTTACCCTCTCCCATAATTTTAAAGTATGACGCATCAACTTATTTCCTCTATAATTTGCACACACTTGAGCATCCCCTTTATTCTTAAAAATGAGGACTAAAATACTCTTCCTCCACTCCTCAAGCATCTTTTTAGTTTTTAAAATAATATTAAAGAGTTTAGCAAGCCAAGAAACTCTCAAATCTCCTAAACATTTCCACACTTCATTTGATATATCATCAGGTCCTACAGACTTTCCACCTTTGGTTTTCTTTAAAGCCTCCTTAACTTTTTTTTTACTAATGCAACGGTAAAAATGAAATATTTTATAATTATTAACGATACTAAGATCACTAAAGTCGATCATATTTTTAAAAAATTCATTGAAACGTTTATCAAAATAACTCACCCACCTATGTAGAACATCTTTTTCTAAGAAAAGTACTTTTTGATTTTCATCTTTAATACAATTTACTTGAATTATTTTCTCTTTGTTATTTTCTCTTTGTTAGGCTAGTTTATACATATATTTATCACCCTCCTTAGTATCTAATCCATGATAAAGTTTATGTTAGAAGATTTGACGTCAAGAGCAAACGGATTGTCTTTTGTCAATGTGATTACTTTTACTTTTAAATTATGTTAATAATAGTGTATCTTCTAAATCACTCGCATTAGTCGAGATATCTTGTTACTGCAACTAGAATATGATTATTTTGGTTTATTATTCAATTTGATCATCTAGAAATGAATGTGAATGATTTAAATAATTTTACTTACGTACTACACATGCACGTTATAAAAAAAATGTATTGGATGATATTTAGAACGTAAATGAAATGATTTATAATATGTTTGCATATTAATGCTTGGCTATGATGGAACATCAATTGATGATACTAGTGGGGGAATACTAATATATACATGCACTTAAATGGAAAAAGATATTGATTTTGAGGTGTTTTAATTGACACAATTTTTAGACGGTGGTTCCTATGACGATTTATAAATACGATACGATATTGATATGTTATTGGTATAGTAAGACTACTTGAATAACATCAAATATTTAGATTGATTTATTTAAAAGTTTAACTGGTATGCATATTATTTTTTTCCTTGTATTGTTGTAGTTTATGAATACGAGTATTCACTGGCTCGTTTAGCTCACAGTTGTGTTAAACTAACTTTTCAGGTTAATTAATTGATAAAAAAATGAGTGATAGAAGAGAAAATGTTTATAGAAGACGCGGACAACCAGTAATAAGATAATTTTAAATTGTACCGCTTTAGTTTATTTTATTTTGGCTCTTTCATAAGTTAAATTGAAGGTTAATATAGAAAATTTAATTCACACAATCCGATTTTCTATACCCGCCTTGGTTAATTTCAAGCCCAAGATGAGTCGTGACACAATATAAAGCTTGTAAAGATATAATTATATGTAAATATATATATATATACCACATCCCACAGACAATGTATACCGCATTCACGCAGCCTAACTCAAATTTCATCATATGCACAACTTTTTTAGTCTCACATTGTAGGATGAAGTTAGCATTGCACTCTATATATATTAAAAAAAAGAGCATCGAAGCATGAGCTTGGAACTCATCTAGGTGGGGGGCATAATTTATATTAGCTCGACTAAACTAATGTTAATAAAATAGTTTTTTTTTTAATCCATAGTTACGACTAAACTAATGTTAATAAAATAGTTTTTTTTTTTAATCCATAGTTTATAATTAACTTAACATAATTCGATAAATTTAATTTTATAGAAAAATAATTAACCATTAGAATGAGAATTAACATCGATTAAAAGGTTATGTCTCGGGCAGCGAAACCGACCGATTCAAAAGTCGAAGAAGTAATTCAGACAATTTTTCACTAATTTGGTCCAATCCGCTCTTTCAAAATCTAGGTTATTTCAATTTTTTATATTTTTACCGTATAAATATTTCTACCAGTTATTATTACAACCTTTCATATGTTGATTGCATATTATCTAGTTGGTTGTGTGCTTATCAAACCCCGTGACTCAGTATAAAGCAAAGGCATTAACCATAGTCCACTTCATTACCATAAGTATAGTGCCCTTTTCTGCGGTTCCATTAGTCTCAGCATTTATGCCATAAGAGTATTAAATACACAATCATCAAGACGTGTGTTGTTAAGAATACGGTGTCTTCCAAATCAGAAACTGATTTTACCGGAGTTGGAACTTCTTTTAATATAGCATGTCATCTTTCTGATATGCATATCATAGCCTTCTTTGAAAATATTCTCATTTCAGCAGGAATCTTACTG